TAACCCGGGTAACTTACAAAGAACAGAAATTTATTTCTCACAGTTCTGGAGGCTGGCAAGTTCAAGAGCATGGTGCTGGCAGATTTAGTGTCTGGCGAGGGCCTGCTTCCTGGTTCATAAATGGTGCCTGCTCTCTGTGTCCTCACATGGTGGAAAAGGCTACTAACTCTCCACAGTCACTTTTATAAGGGCACCAATCCCAATCATGAGGGCAAGAGCCCTCATGATCTAACTACCTCCTAATACCATCACATTCTGGGTAAGAATTTCAAAATATAGATTTGGGGGGTACACAAACATTCATACCATAGCATTCCACTAATAGTGTCAAATATATGTTAGCTTCTTATTGCTTAATTGAATAAAATAATGAGTTCGTGGCCAGGTGTGGTGGCTCATGCCTGTGATAGCAGCACTTTGGGAGGCCGAGGCAGGTGGATCACTTGAGGTAAGGAGTTTGAAATCAGCCTGGTCAACATGGGGAAACCTTGTCTCTCCAAAAACTACAAAAATTAGCTGGGCGTAATGGTGGGCTCCTGCAGTCCTAGCTGCTCAGGAGGTTAAGGCAGGAGAACCACTTGAACTGCGAGGCAGAGGTTGCAGTGAGCCAAGATTGCACCACTGCACTCCAGCCTGGGTGTCACAGTGAAACTCTGTCTCAAAAAAAAAAAAAAAAAAACAAAAACAAAAAAGCAAAAAAAGCAAAAACAAAAAAAGAATGAGTTCCTAATAGATTGCCAGACTGACGTGTAGTCTGCTGCATCTGATAATTCATCATATCTCCTAGGCCTAGCACATACTAAATTCTTTGTAAATGTTTCTGGGATAAGGGGATTAAATGGGTAAATGTGTTTTAAAATCAGCAATTTTTGCATTCATTTCCAGTTTTCCTTGTGACTGGTACTTTACCCAGTGAAAGATTAACTTTCTTCCTCAAGCCTCTATTCTTAATTCCCTGTTTCTTTCTCTCTATTCCTGCTAGATCCTGCCTACCTCCTTGTTATCTGAATCTGGATTGTATAAACATGCAGAACCGTTAGTTTTTACAGTGGATAAAACTTAAAGAGCATACTCTTGCTAACTGAATGAAGGTTTTAAGGGGGTTCCTATTTAAAATGAAATCTGCTGTGATGGAGTTATGAAGATTAAACATGGTAATATTTGTAAAAGTGTTTTATAAAGAGATAACAGTATGTGTAATTATACAAGATAATTGATAATGATGCATTATAATAATAAAATTTGATGGAAAAAAAAGAAAAAAAATTGACAGAAATAACTCCCCAAATTTACCCACTTCACTCTCCCCCAAAGCCCCAGTAGTGTTTACACAGCTTTTCTATTTAACATTCACTCAGGGAGATGTCATTGATATTTAATAGAATGAGGAAAATCTAAGCAATCTAAGTCATTAATGACTTAATGACTATTAAGTCACTTAGAGGTTAGTAAGAATTAATGTAATTTTTCAAAGGTATACCATTTATAATCAAAATAGATAAGGAGTAGGTTAATTGCAGTTTTTCCTTGTGATAAGCCACAAAAAAATATAAAGTTGAAATTATATTTGCCATGATATAAAACAATATGCTACAAAAAGTTCCCTAATGTCTATCTTTTCCTTTCTTAAAGTTAATGATTGTGTTCCTTTGTCAAAAAAAAAAAAAAAAAAAAAAAAAAAAGAGTCAGTGCTCTTTTTCCTCATGTTAAAGGAGTAAATTATACTCTGGTTTCTCTTCAAATCATATAAATCTTTCGCCTTAAATGAGTAAATTAATATTGCTAATTTGGAAATCGTAAACGATGGCTTCCAGTAACTAACGTTTATTTTATTTATGAGAAAACAGTGGCATATTTAGCTTCTTCTGAAGTATTGTACAAATAACTTAAGCAAAAGGTATGTCAGATTATATTAAAATTGATATTTTTTTGCTTCACATTTTTTGAGTATCAGCTGTATGGAGTACTCATTTTAAAAAGGAAAATGGTATGAAAACGATTGTTTTGAAAGGAGAAAAAAGAGGTGTGAGCTTTCTTGAAAGTGTAAGGAAAATGATGTGGTGGAAAGTGAAATCAGACAGGGAGTCAGAAAACCGGTTCCAGTGTCAGCTCTGCTACTTAGTAGCCCTTTCCTTTTAGTGGATTCTAAATACTAACTTATTTAGAATCCGCCTGTGGATTTAAATGTGATAGTCGCTAGTGACAAGCACAGGGGGATACTTCTCGCTAGGGTCAGTTCAGGCCGTGATTCCTCTAAAGGCATATTTTTGGATTACTTATTTTACTGTGGTTCTACTTTATTAGAAGGTCCCTAAAGAGTTTTTTGTTTGTTGGAGGGACATAATACTAGGCAGATTTCTTTTTGTCACAGGTGCCCTCTGCCAGTGTCCCCAACTTGGAGGTCTCTTTAGGAGTCCCAGAGACTCTGAGAGGGTCACATTGTACCTTGAAACACAGTTTTTGACGTTTGTATAAAGCTGCGGGTGCGCTCTGTGGAAGGTTGCTATGACAATTTGCAAACAGTAGAGGCGATGAAATTCCGCAGGAGGTGGCTCCCTTCCGACTGGAGTCTGCACTAGTTCGGGCCTGCACAGTAGGTCCAGCCAGAGACAGTCGGGCGGGGCAGATCATAATGGTCCTGTGACCCCAGGATAACTCAGAAACCAGGCACCTCTCGAGAAGGAAGTGCATGGCATAACTCTGCCCAGTCATCCGGGATTTGTCGGGCTTTCCCAGCTCCCTCCCCTCACTGTTGAAGTGGCAAAACCTGTGTGACCTTTGTACAGAGGCGCACCGTGTGCCACGCAGGACGAGGCGCGGTTGCAAGAAGGGAAAGCAGCTTTTTTTGGTCTCCAAGGAAAAGACAGGTTGCAGATGGCAAATTAAAAAGGCAGGGGAATTTTCCACCGGTCTTGGAAGGAAAGGAGGAAAGAGATGCATGTGAGGGGATGAGAAGAATTCGAGGTGTCGCTCCCTCAAAGCTGAAAGCTGAAAGGAAAATGTGTCTCTCCCAGTGGCGGCGCAGGGGAAAGGCTCGGAGTTGTAAGGAAATGGGAGGTGTCTCTGATGTTTATTTTTGCCTAGCAACCCACAGCCAACTGCTTCCCCAGCTGCCGTCCACACGCGCCTCTGCCTCCTCATGTCCTAGCGACTGGCAAGCGGTCACTTGGTGTCAGTAAACCCGGGAGAGTGTGTGTGGTGGAGGTGGGAGGGCAGACCCTCTTTCGCCCCTGCTCAGGGTCACCGAGCTCAGCGGCGGCCCCTCCCGGGGCTTGATTCTCCGGGGTGACCCCGGCACAACTAAGTTATCTGCGATGAATTGGGGAGAGGGGAGTGGTTAAGCGGCTGGACTCAGAATGGGGGGACGGGGACGCAGTATTGTCTGAGCAGCCATTCGGTTCGAAGAGCTGAAAATGCATTCCTGTTCAGGGGCGCGCGTGGCAGGGGAGGGGTCACTGCGGCGCTTTGGGCCGAAGGGCAGCAGCGGTAGGTTGCGCTGTAGGGCAGAGGAGGGGCGCCGCGGGGGCCAGGGAGGGGAAAAGGTCGCCGGAGGGGAGTCGAGGGGAGCGGTGCAGATGGTCCGAGGAGGCGAGCGGAGGCCGCGGAGTTTTCCGCGGAGTAGAGGGGCGACCGAGCGAGATCCGGGGGCGGGGAGGGGCCGGGCGGGGCCAGGCGGGAGGCCGGGTGGGGGTGGGGTGTGCGTGGCCGGGGCCCCCGGAGCCGGGGGCGGGGCCTGCGGCGGCGGCGAGGGCGGCGGGGGCGGGGCCGCGCGCCCGCGCCTGTGTGTGAGTGCGCGGGGGCGCGCGCGCGCGGGCCGGTGAGAGGCTCCCCAGCGAGTCGGTCTTCGGTCCTTGCGGCGCTTCCAGCTCCCCGCGCTCCTATGTGAGGGAGACGGGGAGGCCCGCGGCGCGCAGGGGAGGGCGAGGCATGTGCACGGCCCGGAGGGTGCTGCGGCCGCCCGAGGAAGAGGAGGACGGCGGCGAGGAGGAGAGCGGGGGGCTCGCGGCGGCGGGCCCGGGCCGAGGGGATGCAGCGGACTGTGTGTGTCTGGCTGTAGCAGACGCGAGGCGGCGACGAGGCGCCGGGGACCCGCGTGAGGGGCGGCCGGGAGACGGCGGTGGCCGCCAGAAGTAGCAGCAGGACCGGCGGCAGCGACGGCAGCCCTGAGATGCATTTTCCTCTCCAGCGGCCATGTTAACCAGGAAACCTTCGGCCGCCGCTCCCGCCGCCTACCCGACTGGTAAGGAGGCCGTGCCCCCACGCCGCTCCCCGGACTCCCGCCGGCCCCGGGCAGCCCCTGTGGCGCTGGCGGCCGCAGCCTGCAGGACCTCTAACAAAGTCGGCCGCACGGCGCGGGGGAGCCCCCGGGCGGACGTCGCGCGCAGCCCCCAAGGCCCCTCCGAGGGGAACCCAACGCCGGACCTGGCTTCTGCCCGCCGGGAGCCCAGGCGGGGACTGTCCAAGCCTGACGCCCCGCCCTGCGCTGCCCGGGGCTTGGCGTGGCCGTGGCGCCCTGCTCAGCTGTCCAAGCCACCTCCCGGCCGCTGGCCGCCTGGAAGGAGGGCCAGCAAGCCCCAGCGCGGCCCGGCTCCCCCACCGGGTCGCGAACTCGCGCGCCAGGGCCTGACCTAACTTTGCAGCTGCCGGCGCCCCGCCCGTGGGTGTGCACTGGGGAGCCGTGACCCGAACGCCCGTTTTTACTGCCCCGGTCTCTTCCTTCGTCTTTCCCTGGAAGAGCGGTGTGGCTGCCCAGTGGGGTGGGAGGGTCCGGGTGACTGTCTCCCCCCTGACCCTCTTTTGTCTCCTCCCGCACGTGGCTTCCAGGCCGAGGAGGGGACAGCGCCGTTCGCCAGCTTCAGGCTTCCCCGGGGCTCGGTGCGGGGGCCACCCGGAGCGGAGTGGGGACCGGCCCGCCCTCCCCCATCGCCCTGCCGCCTCTCCGGGCCAGCAACGCTGCCGCCGCAGCCCACACGGTGAGACCCAGCCCGCGGGCGGCCTGGGCGGTGGGGGCGGGAGGGGCCCCAGGCAGACGCACCCGGACTTGGAGGGTTCTGAGGCCGGGAAAAGAGGGGTCGAGATCCGAGCAGCCCCACGCCCCGGGCCGGTGGCCTCTTCTCGACGCCGCCGTGGTGAACTTGGGCGAGCCCAAAGCTGCAGCCACAAAGGAAGATTCGTGGCGTGGGCCCCTCACTTCCCCTCCGGAGCCCGCCCACCCCTGAGCTCCTCTTCCTAGGAACTTCCTCCTTGCTGCTTTCCTTCTGTCTTTCCTCATTTTTCGTCCTTGCTTCTCAGTGCTCCCTTCCCTGACCCGGTAAACATCCCTGTCCTTCCCCCACATCCCCATGGGTAGTGGGTATTTATAGAAACAGATACGTGTTAGGGGACAGCCAGACCGGCTTGCCCGGAAAATCGATCCCCCAAAGAGCCTCCCAGGCCTGGCTCCAACCAGCAGGGAGCATCGCCAATTGTCCCCCGCGTGTGTAAGCATGTTTTATGAGTGCTACAGGTTTGAGCACAGCAGAAATTGTAATTAACGTTAACAAAAATAAGAGCCGCGGCAGCAGTCAAAACAAGACACCCCTGTAGGATTCTGCAGTTGGACATTATTCAAAATGAAAGGGCAAGCATTGCTTTGGAGATGGGAAGGAAAAGGCACCTAACAGGTGCTGTGCTCTCAGAGGGCCCAGAGGGAGGGAAGAGGCCGGCGTGGGACTAGTTTCTGGTGGCTGCGGAGACTGGCCAGCTGGATTCAGCATGTACCTTTTCTCAGCTCCCAGGGATCACCCTTGGATGGTGATGGCCAGACTGGAGGAGGTCTGCGCTTGGAGGAGGTGCTGGTTTGGAGGTCTTTTTTTTCCAATGGGATCTTCCAGAGGAACAGCCTAAGATGGGTCTATGTGAGGAATGCTTGCTAGCTAGCGATTGGTTTTATATGCCAAGTGAAAGTTGAGTTCTTGAAGAAAAGGCCATCCCCGGCCTACAGGGGAGTAGCTCTGGGGAATCATATGTTATGGGAAAACTTGTTTGTCAGAGGAGAACTGTGAGGGGATGTCTAGACTCTAGTTGCACCTGTTAGACCTGGACAGATGTGTGCAAGTTTCATAGGAAAATGTTTTGTTACTGTTACTATTTTACCTCTTCCCTCTCTGTCTATCTTAACACATCTGGTCTCAGGGGCTGGGAATTCATTGCACAGAAGTTAGCTAATCCGTGTTGGACGTGGATGATAGTAGGATGGATGGTTCTGTGTATTACTGTTAAGTGTTCTTGTCACAGTGATATTTTAGTTAAGGGACTGCTGTTGATTTTAGGGGTTTGGAATTTGTTTTTGTTTGGGATCATCTGACAGTTTGGAAAATGGAATATCCAGTTTTTTTCTATGTGTTGATGTAATCACATGACATGGTGTGAGCTGGGAAAAAAGTATTTGGTTTACATGTGGATTCCAATTTTGTAAGGATGGGCTTTGCTTGATCAGAGCCTCTTTGCAATTGAAAAACATGTAATGAAATTAGACAAAACGACAAGTCTCCACTGGAGGGAGAGCCTGTGGTGTACCAGAAAAGGAAGGATGTGAATGTGCTTCTCAGTACACCTCATAATGGAGGCCTGTATTTTGCCGTGGCATTTGCCAGAGTTACTTGTTTTTAACGTGTGTGTAAACTTCAGTATGCTGTTAATTATTAGATGCTTGACTTTGAAAGCGTGAATTTGGGTTTCAATGGTTGTTTAGTTTTGATTTTATTTCTGTAACATCGCAGATTTCATAGTACAGGAAAGGTTAAAAGAACCACAGAGTTTATTTGATTCTACGTTTTCCATTTATATAGATGAAGAAACAGACTCAGACAAGGTAACTGGTTTCATCAAGATTCCTCAGCCAGTTCATATCAAGGCCAGAGTGAAAGCCTACACCCGTCTGCATCTAGTATTAATATACTGACGGACACTACTAATTCTAGAAAATTGTACTAGCTTCATTATAAATGCAAGAACCTTTGTAGATCCATATTTCTACATGTCTGTCAGATTTTTATAAATTGTTGGTTTTTAATTCCAGGGCAGTTACACGTAGGAAGAACTTGTAGAATAAATGGGGTTTGGGGAGGGCATTAAGGAGATAAAAATGATCTTGTCTGAGGAGGTTGCCCATACTTTCTCTTGCAGGCGGTATAGTAGGCAGGAAAATATATGATTATAAAGAATATAAACTTTGGAATTTATCTAGTCCATTGCCGCTTTGTTTTATATCTCCATGCATAAGTTGTTTTACACTTTAGTTATGTAGTGTATTTCTGTTTGTGTGAGAGAAAAAAGTGTGTCCAATTACTATCTTAATTCCTATTATTTTTTTACTAATGTTAAATGGGAGGCATTAATAGATGTATTTTTAAATTCAAAAATATTAACTTTTGTAACCGTTTTACTGTGTGAAATGCTCTCTAGTTATGAGTTTTACCTTTATAAGATAATTTGATTTAAAATACACATTTTAAAAACGGCAATATTTTGAAGAAGAAGAAGTAGACATTTTACTCAGGGCTACACAGACTGTCAGAATGTTTAAGGAGGAGCTAAAATTCCAGTCTTTTTGGACTCGCTTCTATTCCCTTAATACTGTACAGCATTTCTAAGATGACTTCAGAGAAATTTTAAAACGCCCAGAACTGTTAGCACAGTGTGATATCTGCTGTTTGCCATTTTATTATTGGAAGAGATGAAAACTACCGAACTGGTTAGACTATTGTTTTACATAATATTGAATACCAGAATACTTCATGATCAAAGAAACAAGGCTCTATTTGAACCCATAAATTGTAGCTAATTTAACAATTGTGTTCATAATGTATTTTCAGATGTGACACACTGTGCTATACATTGGCATATCAGAATAAGCCATGATCTCAGACTTCAAGAGGCTGAGCAGGAGGAAGAGGTTTTTAATATCCTTAGTTTATGATGTAGTCTTGGCATATGCATTCTAGAAATGTTCTGGCATTTTGGGTCCCTCAGCACCCCCACCCTGCTCTCTGCCCCAATTTTTGTAAGTCAGTTAATTGTACTTTCAAGCTTGATTGTGATTTTAGAGTTCTGCAATATTTGAAATTCAAAGTCCTCTTTTGCTAGAGCTTCTCAAATGAATCTCTAACATCTGGAAAGCTTTTAAGATTGAATGTGTTGCTTTTAGGTGTTGGTTGATGTGTCTGCTACCAGTACTTTATACATGGTTTATTTGATGTATCTGCTACAGGTAATTTATACTTGGAGGTCCTTTGCCTCCAAGTCAGTGCTGTTGCACTGCAAGCCTAACATCTCATGACTTAGGTCACCAGGGACGTTTGCCAATTCCCGGGGCATTGACTTCATGTTTCTTTATGAAGGTACACAATGTAGTTCACAGTAACAACTCCAAGAGAGGCAAGAGTTTACAAGGAGGAAATATTGACATGTGTTCCTCCATCCCGCAGATATTTATTGAGGGCTTACTATATGCCTGGGTATATGTTATTGAGGACTTAGAAACATAAGAGAGGACCCAGCCTTGGAATTGCTCATAGCCAGACAGGTGCATCTGATGTTAAAACAATTGCAGTAAAGAGAAATAACTGTTAGATTAATACTCTCTGAGTAGAGAAGAAGCTGTTTAGTAGGTCAGGGAAGGTTTCACAGGGGAGGTGAGAGTTGAACCAGGCATCAAAGGGTGAATCACGTAGATATAAGAAAGGAGATTCCAAGAAACATCTGGAAAGGACAATAATAATGCTTTCATTGACTACTAAGCAGTTTACACAAATTACCTTACTTAATCCTCCTAATAGCCCTAATGGGGTAACTTTGTTACCTTCTTGTTGCAGACAAGGGCACTGAGGTTAACAGAGATGAAGTAAATTGCCCTGGCTCACACATTTAGTAAATGGTGGAGTTGGATCATTTAATGTGTGTCTAACCGAAAATCTACTGTTGTGAAACATGACCTCACTAAAAACAGAGGAATGGAAAAGCGCATGGTGTTTTTGGGTTCTGGGCTCTCTAGTTTTGTTCCCCTTGGAGAGAAGAGTGATAGTAGTTGATAAGAATGGAAGGACTCAGATCATTTAGCCTCTACATTTTAGAGCCCTGTTTTCTTACCGGTAGATTCTTGCATTAGCTGTGGAAATAGCTTATCACCCTGGGCCGTGAGCAAAAACAAGAGTGGTTTCGGGTTGAGACTTTTAAATGGTAACTCTGAAAGTACTATGGAGAGATTTGAGGAATTCTAGACCCAGAAGCAAGGGGGCATGTTATGATGCTGCCTCAGTTGCTCCAGTGAAAAACATCAGGAGAGTGACATGAGGCAGTTTTGATTGAAAGGGCAAGGGATAGTAATGATGAGTCTTCTTGGTGACTTGGGAAGGTGAGGGCTGTGTTGAGAGGCTTTCCAGGCAGAGTGCTGAGGATTCATTCGCAGGTGGATAGCCTGAATGACTACATGGAGGGTCAGCCTTCTGTTTATCAAAAATTCAGAATTACGGGAGTGGGAAACCGGTTTGGTAGAAAAATCATGAGTTAAGTTTGAGTTGCAGGCCGGGCGTGGTGGCTCATGCCTATAATCCCAGCACTTGGGAGATCGAGATGGGCAGATCATGAGGTCAGGAATTTGAGACCAGCCTGGCCATCATGGTGAAACCCCGTCTCTACTAAAAAATACAAAAATTAGCGGGGCATGGTGGTGGGCCCTGTAATCCCAGCTACTCTGGAGGCTGAGGCAGGAGAATCACTTGAACCCTGGAGGCTGAGTTTGCAGCTTGAACCCAGGAGGCCAAGTTTGCAATGGGTCGAGACCATGCCATTGGACTCCAGCCTGGGCGACAGAGCAAGACTCCATCTCAAAAAAATAATAAAAAGTTTTGAGTTGCTTGTGGAGAGTGAGCTGATCGATAGTTGGCTGTGTATGTCTTGCACTCAGGAGTTAGCACATTGGGTCCTGGGCTATCTAGTTTTGTTCCCCTTGCTCTGAGCTCAAGAAACAGATGTGCAAAAATCAGGCGGGCAGTTGCTGAAGGCCTGGCTGTGTTCAGGATTCAATTGCAGGGTGTTATGGGAGTGAGAAGCCAAGAGAATTGAGGCTTGAACTCTGGCGAGCTCTTGAACCCAGCTAAGGTTAGGTGAACTAGTAGTTTAGTAGTTGATACTGCAAAGGAGACCAAGATAAGGCAGTTGGAGATACAGAAGAAGGTTGTTTCTTGGCAGTCTCTTTAGTTTTAATTATTAAAACATTTGTGATCATGTATTGAATTATTTATGCAAAACACAAAAATTGCTTGAAGTGAATTTCTGAGACTCAGTTTTGCTTTGCTGTCTTTTTAGAAATCCCTAAAGCCCCAAGGTTAATTTTGTCCTAATGAAGAAGCTGTATGCTTTTTATAGCATATATACAGGTAATGTGGATATTTCTTCTGAAATACCACCATCCCATTCTGAAGAGAATGGTTGTATAGGAGAGAGGTGTTTTGATTCAGGTCCCTTTATTCCTTAGTGTTTGAAAGACCACCGTGGACAGGAGAGCATGCAGATAGCGAGGCTGTGGAAGAAAAGCACTGGACAAGCCTATACGTCTTTTATATATGCCCAAGAGTTGCCTGATTCATTTTTATGGACTGCCCTGCCTTTAGCATAGAACAAGGATAAAATAACCTGTCTAGCTACTCGTAATGAATATAAGGTCACCTAGCATGGAGTATCATTATAAATTTAATAAAAAAGCTCAATTATAAGTGAGAAATGATATCCCTGAGCCTATGAAGTCACAGACAGGCCCAAGTACTATCTTCTGTTTTGTTTTGGTTAGAAGTGAGCAGAGAAGAAGCTCACACTCCATACATAGTCATTGTGCATATCATGTGTTTGATAAAGAAAATGTGAATGCCTTGGTGTGCTAGTAAGAAGGAGTTGGAATTTCATTTTATAATCCAGGTGTTCCCGAATCATTTTTTGAATTACTATGTTACATATACAGAGCTCTCCTGCTCTTTCAGTAGTATGTAAAACCCCAAAGGTAGAATTTAAAAGGGGATAATAGAAAAAATACTGTGGCAGTGGACTTCAGTTAGTTAATTGTAAGGTCCTGGAGGGCAGGGACTCTGTCACTTTGGCAGCCAGGCTTCTGTTAATAGTAGTTGAATGAATGAGGTGGATTGTGATGACAAATTGATGTAAGATTTCATATAAAAATCACCTTCCAGGCTGCTTTAACACTTGGAGTTGTCCTGGCTGCCGGTCCTCTCCTACCCCTTACCCCACAGCAGTGATAATGCTTGAAGGAAATCACAAGAATTCTTTAGGGCTGGGGCCCCTTGGTTCACACCATTGGTAGAGTTTAGACAGGAATGGCATGGGTACTTGAAACAGAAGTTGCTTCTTTGGACCAACTTCTTGGAAGTTGGAAAGCTGAGTAAGTATCCAAGCAGCTCGTAGAAATACACATCTTCAGAGAGCTGAGCCACTGACCGGAGGAAGGCCAAACAGTGTGGTCGTTGCTTGGCTTGTTGGGCTGAATGCCTCAAATGGTTATTACACTTAGTAAAGCGTGGAAACTTAAAAAATAGGTTAGGGGTTTATAAGGTGCTATTGTGCACATCTACGTGAGAGTCTTTCGAGCCTAAAAACAGGGTTTTTGTTTGTTTTTGTCACTGGATCATGTGTGCACTTAGGTTTCATCAGATTTTCAAGGAAAGGGGAAATACTGGTGATAAAGTGTTTTCAGGATAGGTATTAGGGAAATAATAGTGAAAAAGATGGTCCCTGTCCTCTTGTTAACAAACTACTAGATGAAATGTGAAAGATGCTGTGATCTGTGGGTGAAGGAGCCAACTACAGTCTTATGTGTTCATGTTTTTTTGTATTCTTTTTCATTTTTATATCAAGTGTGGATTGAGTGGAACACCTATGATGTGTCAGGCCCTATACTAGGTGCTAGTTATAGAATGATAAAAAAGTTATGGTCTCTGCCTCCATGGGGACCCTGAATCTGTACATCAAACCCACTTGTCTGTTAGGCATGCATTTATAAGGTTCATTTTTCAGGATCACAAGTTTTGTGACCTTACTCAAACCAAATTGGATTTTGTAAAGGTGGGGTATGGGGGATATTGTTTGGGTGTGACTTACACCCAATTTGAACAGACATACCACTTCTTTTCTATTTATATCTCCTGTCTGAATTCCAGATTGGCAGCAGTAAGCACACAATGAATGATCACCTGCATGTCGGCAGCCACGCTCACGGACAGATCCAGGTTCAACAGCTGTTTGAGGATAACAGTAACAAGCGGACAGTGCTCACTACACAACCAAATGGGCTTACAACAGTGGGCAAAACGGGCTTGCCAGTGGTGCCAGAGCGGCAGCTGGACAGCATTCATAGACGGCAGGGGAGCTCCACTTCTCTGAAGTCTATGGAAGGAATGGGGAAGGTGAAAGCCACCCCCATGACACCTGAACAAGCAATGAAGCAATACATGCAAAAACTCACCGCCTTCGAACATCATGAGATTTTCAGCTACCCTGAAATATATTTCTTGGGTCCAAATGCTAAGAAGCGCCAGGGCATGACAGGTGGGCCCAATAATGGTGGCTATGATGATGACCAGGGATCATATGTGCAGGTGCCCCACGATCATGTGGCTTACAGGTACGAGGTCCTCAAGGTCATTGGGAAGGGGAGCTTTGGGCAGGTGGTCAAGGCCTACGATCACAAAGTCCACCAGCACGTAGCCCTAAAGATGGTGCGGAATGAGAAGCGCTTCCATCGGCAGGCGGCAGAGGAGATCCGAATTCTGGAACACCTGAGGAAGCAGGACAAGGATAACACAATGAATGTCATCCATATGCTGGAGAATTTCACCTTCCGCAACCATATTTGCATGACGTTTGAGCTGCTGAGCATGAACCTCTATGAGCTCATCAAGAAAAATAAATTCCAGGGCTTCAGCCTACCTTTGGTTCGCAAGTTTGCCCACTCGATTCTGCAGTGCTTGGATGCTTTGCACAAAAACAGAATAATTCACTGTGACCTTAAGCCTGAGAACATTTTGTTAAAGCAGCAGGGTAGAAGTGGTATTAAAGTGATTGATTTTGGCTCTAGTTGTTACGAGCATCAACGTGTCTACACATACATCCAGTCGCGTTTTTACCGGGCTCCAGAAGTGATCCTTGGGGCCAGATATGGCATGCCCATTGATATGTGGAGCCTGGGCTGCATTTTAGCAGAGCTCCTGACGGGTTACCCCCTCTTGCCTGGGGAAGATGAAGGGGACCAGCTGGCCTGTATGATTGAACTGTTGGGCATGCCCTCGCAGAAACTGCTGGATGCATCCAAACGAGCCAAAAATTTTGTGAGCTCCAAGGGTTATCCCCGTTACTGCACTGTCACGACTCTCTCAGATGGCTCTGTGGTCCTCAATGGAGGCCGTTCCCGGAGGGGGAAACTGAGGGGCCCACCGGAGAGCAGAGAGTGGGGGAATGCGCTTAAGGGGTGTGATGATCCCCTTTTCCTTGACTTCTTAAAACAGTGTTTAGAGTGGGATCCTGCAGTTCGCATGACCCCAGGCCAGGCTTTGCGGCACCCCTGGTTGAGGAGGCGGTTGCCAAAGCCTCCCACCGGGGAGAAGACGTCAGTGAAAAGGATAACTGAGAGCACCGGTGCTATCACATCTATATCCAAGTTACCTCCACCTTCCAGCTCAGCTTCCAAACTGAGGACTAATTTGGCGCAGATGACAGATGCCAACGGGAATATTCAGCAGAGGACAGTGTTGCCAAAACTCGTTAGCTGAGCTCATGTCCCCCAATGCTGATAATCTGAAAGATACATTGCTGAGCCTTACTGGGTTGAAAAGGAGTAGCTCAGACCTGTTTTTATTTGCTCAATAACTCATTTGTATCTTTTCAGCACTTAATTTTAATGTAAGCAAGTTGTTCATTTTGTTTTTATAAAATACATGAGGACAATGCTTTAAGTTTTTATACTTTCTGAAACTTTTTGTGTTCTAAAAGTACAATGAGCCTTACTGTATTTAGTGTGGCAGAATAATAACATCAGTGGCAGGCCATTGATTACTTCGTGACTGCCACGCATTTACAGATTGGTGTCAAAGACATTCACTATGTTTTTATGGTTCATGTTATATTCTCCCCAGAGTGACAGCCCCTTAAGGCACTCCTTTTCCCTCCATTCTCCAGGTCCATGCACAGATGTAGCATGTCCTGCTTCTGTTTTTCATAAATTAATCTGGGTGGTGTGGGTAGTGGGAGGAGAACGGTCAGGATGAAAGTGATATTCTAAGAAAAACTGTACCTTAGAGATTTTTCTCTAGTGTGCAAACAAATACAAAATAAGATCCCGAAGGTTTAAACTGCCCAGTTAGCATTCTGACATTCTAAAAGCCGGCAAAGCAGCTTTTAGTGGATAAATGGAAATGGAAACGTGTGTGTTCCTCCAGATTTTCTAGTATGATCGACTAGTTGTTTTGTAAAGAAGCCTCATGTTACAGAGTTGCTTTTGCACCTAAATTTAGAAATGTATTCCATGAACTGTTCCTCCCTTTTCTCTGCTTTTCTCCTCTCTCTTCCTTTTTTAATACCACACATCTGTTGCTTGCATTTAGTTTGTTTTCTTCTTCCAACTGTATATCCCAGACTGTTAATAGAGAAAAGAGACATTTCAGCTGTGATTATGACCATTGTTTCATATTCCAATTAATAAAAGAACAGCAGCCTAGCTACTTAAGGTGGGGATTTCCATAGTTCCAAAGAAGATTTAGAAGATTAGAGTGAGTTCACACTTTTCAGGTGCCACTGTAAGGTTCTCTTAGCCTGGGAAAGTACCAGCTCTTTCTTTAAAAAGAAAGAGGGTTGAAAATCCTCTTGACAAACAGAAGTCACTTTGGCTGTTCACTAAGGCCAATGTTAACAACATGTTTAGAGGAAAAAAAGTTCAACCTCAAGTTAAATGGTTTGACTTATTCTTTGTATCATTAGAAGAACCCCAGAGATAGCATTCCTCTATTTTATTTTACTTTCTTTTGGATTGCACTGATTGTTTTTGTGGGAATGACACTTTATCTGGCAAAGTAACTGAGAGTTTGGTAAAAGAATATTTTCTTCTCTGAATAATTATTTTTCACAGTGAAAATCTCAGTATTTTATCACAAATGTATGAGCAATGATCTATATCAATTTCAAGGCACGTGGAAAAAGATTTTTAGTATGTGCAATTTAATGTAGAAAGATTTCTGCCTGTTTGGACAATAGGTTTTGGGTAGTACAAGTTAGGATAAAAAATCTTATATATGCACAGAGATTATTGTATTACCTGTAAATTGATTTACAAGTACTTAAAAGCATGGTCCCCAGTGAGGCCAAGAAAGTTTCTGGTTAAGTTCTTTAATAATAATCCTATAGTTTCTCTTAAAAAAAAAAGTAGTTTTGAAAAAAACACTTATCTTTAGGCTTTTGTCGGTTGATGGTGGAAAAACATGCTCAGGAAATATTTCAGATATTTGCCAAAAAACCAGTAATAAGGTTAGCTTATTGAAATAGTGATAGATATTTGCTTTACTATTTAAGGTGTCACTGATAAATTAATTTGTACTTCTGTCTGTGTTTAGAAATTATAGCTTCTTTTCCTTTAGTCAAATTCTTTAGCATATTATACACATTTCTGTGTAATCTGTGGAAGTGCAATAATATGTTAGTAAGTTACATTTTAAATAATGCTCATGTGACAGTACTCCCAATCAATGGCTTATAGAATTTAGAGATCTGTGTGTTAGATTTTGGCTTAAAGGCATAAGAAGCATAAGACTTGGTTTGGGGGTTTATAAGACCACCAGCCTCTTAATGATGGTTAGCGTCTTTAGATCATTAAATCAATAAAAACATATACTGCTGTTTTCCTCTTCTAATGCTTCTCTTCCATTTCCAATTATCTTCACATTTAAGTTTAAATATACAAACCTGAGCCTGCCGTTATTAATTTCCCTATAAAATGACGATACATGTGAAAATTTATAAATGGACTAATACTGCTTGTCTTTCCCTTACCACACAAAACTGGTTGATAAGATGCCAGCAGTGAATTTGTGACTGTCTTTATTCTTAAATGGAAACCAGAAACTTTTACACCAAACTATAATGTGCAGCACTGTGGAGCTTTCTTTTTTATTTTCCAAATACAGTGAAATTTTTTTGTTCACAAGAGCTGCCACATTTTAGCTTTTAGTGATAGCTGGTGTCATGTCAAAAAAAAATTACTGCATCTTTGTGATTTTAAAACATAAATTAATGAAGGGCTCTGATAGGCTATTAGGAGTTGGCCTGGAAACAGTTTTTGGTCTCACAGGTTACCATTGTCTAGGGATGTCTGAGCTGTTTTCAGACTGAGGAATAGCACAGTGTTGTCTTGTCTTTGGCAGTCTCATTTGGCTCTGTTTCTTGCACCACCAGAGTGTTCATTACCACTTAAATATATTGCTCTAGCAGTGGAACAACAGAGTGGTGTAAGACACTGTAGATTAACAGTAGAGGAGAAATTGTGCCCTTAGTGTTAACAATGTGCCTTTTGTTCTGAATGCCATACTGTAGGGCATGCATTTTTTGGCCTCTCTTTAACTCTTTGAATACAGTCAGTAAGGATGGAACCCACCTCTGCAAAGATACATCTGTCTTAAATATCTAGTTACAGGCCTTAATAGAAACCATAAGGCATGACTCATCTTCAGGCACTGAAAAAAGATAACCATCAGGTAGTGTTACACAGGGACTTCCTATGTTTAAGGGGTTAAAGATGGTCTTTGTTGTATCTTATCAAACTGATTTTTAAATATTTTTTTTGTTATGGTAAAACTAGACAAAAATCAACTGTATTTGTAAAAATTTACCTCAAACCATTTAATTTTATAGTGTGATTAATCCCAGGGCATTTGGTATGAACCAAAGTGCATTCCTTTTATATGTGCCTGGCTCTAGTAAGGATGGCCAGGGATTTTTACAATTTGGGTGCAAGGCACTTAAGCCACTTTTAAACTTAATGGGTGGTTTGGGGTCGTGTTAAATGACTCCATCAGAATGTTAGAAAACACTTTAGGCATCAGTAGCATTGGGCCATATTGGAATCCTAAAGTGTGAATTATTTTAAGGAGAGCATTCATTTTTGTAATTTTTTTCATCAAGAATATTTCTGGCAAGCAGAATTTTTAACAAAAACTGATCTGGTCTTGGTTTAATATTGCCCAACATAATGCTGTGATAGCATTTAAAAAAAGTGTTTGTGAACTCTTTGTTTCTTAGGGGCTTGTACATCTCTCTGCTATGGACATATATAAAATTACTTGTAATTATACTCAGCTCAACTGCTACAGTTATGTCTAGGCAGTGGCTTGGGTTTTTAATCGAGCAACAACTTAGACACGTGACTGTAATATGCTGCAACTGTGTGTACTGAAAATATGTGAAAATGGTTGAATGTGGACTGTGTATATATGTATGTAAAAATTTCTGTGAGATGCTGCTGTCGCCACTTAACATTAAATATGTTCTAGTGGATTTTAATCCTAGTGGCCAGTTCTATGATACTGTATGTATTGTACAGCTGATGACAGGAGTAAGACTGTTTAGTGGATATTTGTTAAATTTTATTGTTGTGGCCAGAGATAATTTCAGAATAAAATTTTAATGTCCTACCTTACTTTTCTCCCCTTTCTAACTATAATTTAACTTCTGATCTATTTCTGGTATTATTCTTTGTCTATTAGCCTGGAGAGGGTTTAGAATTTAAAATAGATGGCTCTATATCAGTGTCTTGAGAAGTTAAAAATAATTCATTCTACTATTTTGTTCATTGCAATATTTTATTAGTTCAGTGTAAGTATGCAGATTCCAAGTGGAAAGACAAAGGTTTTATAGTACTTAGCTCTTGCTTTTCTTAGGATATTCTCTTCCTTTACCGTTAAGATTTTTATGTTAATTTTTTCTGTATAGCCCTTGCCATGTTCTTTACTATGCTAGAGCTTCATATCTTCTGTTTTAACCTTCAAGATGATAGTTAAAGCTAGGGGAGCAGAGGCTGTCAATTACTCCTCAACAGTCTTCATTCTTTTCCCTGCACAAGTTCTGGTAAATTATCCTAATGTGCTTTAACCAACTCCACCCAATGTTTTCTTATGTGTTTGCATTTTTTGTACTTGGTGGTCTTTGTGGTTCACATTTTTTACGTTTTAGTGTCTCCTGCCTTGGTTGGCTCAGAAATTAAGGCCTAGGAACTGCAACTAGCTCATGATTTGTCAAGTTCAGTTAATACCAAGCTAAGCGTTTACTTCAGATGACAGCAAGCAGATGCTCTAGTAATTTGTCAGACATTGCAGGGATATTGTGTAGTCAAATATTTCCCTCTTGTGGAAAGAACTACCTCACATTTTTATTTATTTTCCTTCTGTTAAGAACAGCCAAGGAATTACTTAGTGTGGCTTCCTGCGTCAATACTGGGATATGCTTAAACAAGGGAACGCTGCAAGAGCTCCCAATTGTCTCATCATAGCCTGCTCAACAGATTTTTGTTACTGTTAATCTTGCTTCTTAAAGTTCATGCCCACTGCAAAAAACCCAGCCAACAAACCCCAAAATCCAATATATTTAGAAATGTGTTAAGAGGTGTGTATTATGTACAAGATTGAAAATTGGTGCTAAAGTGGCAATGTAAATTTAAAATTTCTTGTCCAGATCTGACTGATTGACTCAGGAGATTATAGTTTCTACTTATTCTCTTTCCTTTGATCAGATCTTTCAAAAGGTCTTTTTAAAATTGATCAATGTGCTATTCTGCTTGAATCTCAACAATCCTATCCCTTTTGGAATCAATGGCTACACAAATAAATACTCTTGGAACTTGAAAGATGCCTTTAAACTAGCTTTAGAAAATGTCCTTAGCTGACATTGATATTGGTCTGATAGAAGGGGAAATTGATTTGACTACGTTCTGTTTCAAAAAGAGTAGTAAGAGGGATTTTAGGAAGTTATTTGTGGCTTTCTTTTTTTCTTAAGTTTGAATTACACTTCATTTCCTTTGGGTTATTAGGCAAATAAACACTTGCCATTAGTAATACTTAACACTGTCCAAAATGAAAAATGACTGCCAGTGTGTCGCACATACCTAAGAAAATTGCATCTTACTGCAAAGTCTTTGGTTTGTTTCCTTATTTGGTTTGACTTACTATTTTGCTATGGTCACAGCCTTAATATCTGTGGTATATTTCTCATATATATATGGGGTGGAGTCGTAGTTGCCATTTCCATGTGTCTCAAGGAAGTTTAATGAGGAAACTAATGAGTTAATAATTTGCTCTTCTGAAGAAAGCTGACATTTTAGGAGTATTAACAAGCCGTCTATAATAAGGAGCAGCAAGAATATATTATGATTGTATCATATGTTCCAGAGAGTATTACCCCTTACACAAAAAGCTCCTTAGAGATTTCATGGTGTTGTATGAACATCAGTTTATCCTTATACATCCCTATGAGCTATAATTACCCTCATTTGATATTTGAGGAAAGTGAAGTGACTTGCTCCAAAGTGACTTTGCAAAAACATTGCAATTTGGGGCTTAGGTTGTAATCAGATAATTTTGGTCTTGGACAGTAAGGGAAAATCCACAATCATTCATAACACACAAAAATTTAGAAAGGGGGGGAAGTTGAGCTAGCAATGGCATTTCTATTATTTAAGTTATGTATTAGTTTACAGGAATGGTTTTCAAGCGGGGCAAACTAAAAATTTGAGGACTAGAGCATCGTAGTCTCTTTAGGTGCACCTAATAATGCATGTGCACACACCCTCAATTAATTTGTAAAAGAGTGACTTCTCATTGTTATTTGTAGAGAGGTTATAGTAACTTCATTTTTTAAGTGTAGTAGCTTCATTATTTTCTGTGTTCTTAATTTTTTTTTTTTTTTACATTTGACAGTATGAAAATATTTTTGACACTTTACTGATTCTCAGGGATTAAAAGTTAAATTTTACTGACTATAGCAGCAGGTAAATCTTTTAAATTTACTCAGGTTTCCTATCCTTTGCCTCCTATTTAAGAAAATATAGAATGCCTGCCAGGGAAATATATAAACATAAAAACTTCAAATACAATTTTAAAATACCAATTTGTAAATAAACCAATTTTACAAACTAAAATATTGTGTCTTTCCTTGCTTTTTATCCCAGTTTATCTCCCCTCCTAATTTTGAGGAGTTTTCTATATTAAGACTATTTCTTCATTTGTAAAAATGAAGTATATGCTATTTGCAAAACCAAAGCCCATGAAAAGGCCCAAATCATTTAATTAAAGCTCACTGAATTATTTTCAGTTGTTTTGGGAGAAATGTAACTAATTATAAGCAATTTATATAGACCTGCAGCAAATAAATGTATGAGTAAGTTTGAGCTAATTTGTCATCTTTTTATCTGAAGAGGAATACCCTACTTAATTTCCCTTGTCTGTAAATGCAATTATCAGAATTTTGGCTAGGGTAGCCTTAAATATAAGAGAAAGTGAAGATGGCATTTGTCAAATATGTATTATATGCCTCTTACAGCCCAGAATCTATGGTAGTCATTAGGGATATATAAATGCTGAACAGAACACAGTGCATTTTTTAAGGAAGTCTTTAGACTGGTTGGGAAGGCAAACATGGATAATTATATGAACAAATACATAGTTGCAAAGTAATAAGTGCTGTGCAGGGAAAGCATGTTGTGCTGTGTGTGCAGTGTTAGTTGTATGGATCCAAGATGGCTTCCCTAGGAAACAAACAGCTTTTGAGCTGAGGAACAAAGAGCATGAGTGGAGACCCTGTAGCTAGAGGAAATAAGCTGAACAGTTGAAGGCAAGGCTACATGGCCAGAGCGCAGAGCATGGGAGAACCTGGTGTGAAACGAAGCTGGTGAGGTAGCCGGGCACTGGAACATGCAAAGCCCTATAGGTGCTATTAAAGATTTTGGTCCTTATCCTATAGGCAAGGCAGCCACCAAGAGATTTTAACAAGGAAATGCCATGAGCAGATTGGCTCTGCCTGGCTTTATAGGAAAGTACTGAGAAGGGTAAGAGTTGATGAAGGAAGCCCAATCGGAAGTGTTTGCAAGAGATGGCCTGCAGATTGGGGAAGGACTTTTAAAGAAAATGGATTTGGGGGCTCCTTAGGATACCGAAAGACAGATGCTCTCTGATTTACAATGGATCAATTTAAAATGTTTTGAGTTTGTGATGGGTTTATCTGGTATTGAATGCACTTTCAATTTACATTTTCAACTTCTGATGGGTTTATCAGGAAGTAGCCCTTTCATAAATCCAGGCGCATCTGCATTAAGATAAAAATAGCAGTGATGTTTCTTTGTGTCTGAAAAGTAGTTGTTGCTATTTGGGTCTGGTTTGCTGCATTGCATCAAAGGAAATCACAGTATTTTATTTGTTTAAGGAAAGGGTTGCAAATTAATGCCTTTGGTTACAAAGTATGAAGCACTGGTATACTATCTTCTGCTGAAGATTTGAAGCCTTTGAGTAAAATCTTGTTTATTAATTGCTTCAAATTCTTTTCAGAAAAATTTAAATTTTAGAAAGATTGCAAAAACAGTGTGGGGGGATTTTATATATTTTTTATATTAAGACTAAAATGTATGAAAGGAAGAAAGGAGGGAGGGATGAGGAGAGGGAGGCAACTAGATTCATGAGAAAGAATAACAAAACAGACTGGGAGGTCAGTAAAGGCCATTCTGGCATAGTGGCCTGGATGTGGTGTTCTGAAGGAGGAGCGTGAGAGCAAGCAAGGCAACCTCCCTCTCCTCCTCCCTCCCCTTCCTTCTTCCCTTCCTTTCATATAAATTAAATCTTTTACTGTAAAAGATGTTATATTTGGATTTGGCCTATTTGGGTTTACCAAAACAAACAAAAATTATAAAAGGAATAAATGAGGAGAAGGAGGAGGTAGGTCCTTGCCTTTGAGAACATTATGTTTAATTAGGAAGGTAAGAGTAGGCAGAAAACATTGAACAGTTTAGAACATTGAAAGATAAAATTCAGAATAAGTACAGGTCATTTGTGTTGCTCTTGGATAAGAATAGCTTCAAGAAGGTGAGTGTCCAGCCAGGTCTTGATGGAATTCAGCTTGAGAGAGAGAAAAAGGACATTCTAGAGGAGTAAAATTGCTGTAACTGAGGGATGTCATGAATCATTCATTCATATGGTCATCCAGTATTTACTGAGCACCTAGGTATATGATTTTTGGCATAATGCAAGAGATGGGCAAAGAGACTGGGTCTGTGGCAAGGTGATACAGGGTGAAGAGGGAGAATCATTTCTTCGGAAGGTAGGCGTTGTCTGTGGTTCTCTCAAATGTGCCATGTTGTTGTAGCCACTACACATGTGCTGTCTCTGTCTAGAATTCATTTGCCAATCTCTGCCTCATCCTGTGAGACTCAGCCCACGCCAGATGTCGCTACCCCTACAAAGTCCTCTTTAGCCTGAGGTTGGGCAAGGTCACCCTTACCAAAAGCTATCACTGGCAGTCATTCTGCTAACTGCAAGGGGAGTGGAACTGAGTTGAGAAGGCAGTGGAATCCTCTCCCCTCTTTCCCTCCATCCTTCCCACTGGGCACACACTGGCAAAAAAACAAAAAACAAATGAAAAACAAAAAGCAAGTGATGT